TGATGTCATCATGGAGGAGTGGGAGAGGATTCCTGAAGCAACCTGTGAGCTCTGGTGAATTCCATGCCCAAAAGGGTTAAGGCAGTGCTAGATAATAATGGTTGGCACACAAAATATTGACACTTTAGGCACAATTTGGACATGTTCACTGTGGGGTGTACTCACTTATGTTGCCAGCTGTTTAGATGTTGATGGCTGTGTTTTGAGTAATTTTCAGAGGGAGGTAAATCTATACTACTATACAAGCTGTACACTGACTACTTTAAGTCATATCAAAGTGTCATTTCTATAGTGTTGTCCCATGAAAAGATATAATGAAATATTTGCAAAAATGGGAGGGGTGTACTCACTTATGTGAGATACTGTACTCATTCAGTAGTATGATAATTATAAATTAATTATCATACTACAATATTGCCATAAATGAGACTGACTCACCGTAATTAAAGACGTCCAGAATATGTCATGCAAGGAAATCCCTGAAATGCCTTGTCTTTTTAAGGTCGAATGAACTCTCTCTCACACACACACACACACACACACACACACACACACACACACACACACAGACAATGCTTTTCACATTAACCTTTTCATTCAACTGTATGTGACCCTAACACTCTTCCTACATTCATGACAAACATTACGGATAGGGGTAATAATACTGTTACAATATATTAGGCCTATATATGACATGATATCGCTAAATGATAACGTTATCATTAACTAGGTTTTACCATAGACTGTATATAAGAAGGGGTTTTACTCACAAATATAGCTTAACAGTTACCTGATTAGTTCTATCCAGCAAGTCCTCGTCTTTTTATCAGTTGGGAACAGATAAAAAGAACAATTCCCTCTGCTGGAGTGACTGCAATATTTTTTCCGATCTAAGGTCCCATGAGCTCTACAGGAAGGGGCGTGACTTCGGCACTCTATGCAGCTATAGAGCTGAATGAGTGAGCACCACTGGTGAGCCAATGCACCAATCTTTTCTTAAGACAGGGAATGTGGGGTTCCAAGAAGTGAAGAAAGAAAAGGGAAAGGAAAAAATGAGAGAAAAGGAAAAGAGAGAATGAATAAGAGACAGAAAAGGGAAAGACTTTTAGATCTTTATTAAAAACATGTCCACTAAGCACTAATTACAGCACTCTACACCAAAAACCCTGCCCCACCACCACCACACATGCACACACCTTAAAACTCCTTACACTGACATCTTCTCATATCCAGATAAACAGTTTAGTCCCTTGCAGACTACAAACAGCCCTGTCTACACACTGCATCCTCTTAAACATGTCCGGGTTGTTAACGACAACATAGTATTGATACTCGGCTCTAAGGCGTGCAGGGACCAGCCCTCTGAACAATAACTCAGGGTTCACTTGCCCTGAACCCTGCAATCTGTTACGCCTTGTGAGCCAAGCGGCCAATTTAACACCTGGGCCTAGAGCCCCATAGAGAACGCCAGGCCCATCTTCCCACAGGCAGCTCCAAGTACAAACAGCAGAGATGACACAAGACATTCCACAAACACATGAACAGACTCAGGCAAGAGAGAGGAAATAAAGAAAGAAATAAAGACACAGAAAGAATTAGATAAAAGGGAAGTAAATTAAGAATGAAAGAAAAAAAAGGGGAAAGAAAGAAAGGCAAAGAAAGACTTTGTCAAACAAAAAAAAAAAAATCCAATGCTGCTCGAGGGTGACATGGTTGAAGAGAGGAAGGGGAGGGGGTCCAGAGAGACTGCTCGTGGATAAGGCCCAGAATTTGGTGTTACGCCCCTGCGTCCATGACTACAATGTGCAAAAACTGCTGGTCTTGTTCTTTAAGCCCAATGGCCTTTCAAACTACATCACCCACACTGCACAGCGCTCAACGTCATCACAACAGGAAGTACAAGACGCTGGGCAGTAACGTTGTTGGTGTCTGAGCAGAGCAGTGTGGCAGGGAAAAAAAACTGTAACGTTAACGTTACTGTAAATCTGTGAGTCTGTCGGAGAATCGGTTCCTCTTCAGCCAGCGCCCATGGACGACGCCCAGGAACAACACACCCCCATCAGGAACAAATAAACCGTCAGGGCGAGGCTTTGTTCCCTCGGTTTATCCCAGTGGACCGTTCACCTATGATGGAACGGGCGATGGAGCAGCTCAACGTACAGCTCAACCGGCTGACCCGTTCCCTCCGCCGGGCCAGGACCGTAGAACTCCCGGAAGGTAATTATTTCAAAGGCTCGAGCCAAAACAGCGTAAGCAGGCACTTTAAACAACAGTGTTCACGTGCTAACACCGTCATACAGAGGTGTCATAGCACCCTGCCTCGGCCTCTGCCAGACACACACTGATTTTATTCTACAGTCTGTAGGTACACTCATGTCAGTACACACCTGGTTTGTGTTTAGTTTGACTGTTAGCTGTGACAGCCTAGCATACAGGAGCAGGTAGAGAGTGTTTCACTGTTTGTTTCATTCAGTCTGACCTGCAGCAACTGAGGCTGAATTTAAATAAATAAATGTAACTTTATATAGTATGCAATATGACGAGCTCGTGTCCATATATGGTGTCTTATTACTTCTGACTTGATACGAGGAGCCAGGGATATCTGACCTGTAGTCACAAAGGTGCCACTGAAATACATATATAAGGACTGGACAAAATATTGATACCATATTGTGAAATGAGACCAGATACCGTCTTACATTTTGGATATGATAATATCATACGGGACTGTTCTTTACTGATCAGAGGAGGGGATGGCTGGGGTGTGGCTTTTTTTTTTTTAACCCTCTCCTAAGCTAAAAATATATTTTTGAGCCTCCCTAAATTACCAGTGAAAAAAGCATAATCCTCCCTCCACCATAAATGAGTTATTAGGGTCCGGGCAGCTAAGCTGCCAGGACACTATTGTAATCCTAGGTATTCTTCTTCTTCTTCTTCTTCTTCTTCTTCTTCTTCCGAGGAAATCATACTTCCCATGGGTGAAAACTCACCACACTTTGCACAAAGGTCCAGTCTCATGCCAGATATCCTCAGCTGTAAACTCAAGCCAATAGTCCTGATGGTGGCGCCACAGCAAGCGTCTAAAGTTCAAAACTTTGAAAATTCATAACAAATCAACCATACATGCTACAACTTCACAACTTTCATCAAACTGTAGCCCCAATACTGAAGAAACTTTGGTACACACAAACCTATTAAAAATTATTAAGTTCATCACTCTGTTTTTTTCAAAAACTGTAAAACTTCTTAAACCTATCTCCTCCCACAATTTTTGCTCAATTGACACCAAACTTGCTACAGAGCATCTTCAGACTGTCCTGCAAAAACTATGTTTCTCAGATTTTTGATTTATCAAAAATTGAGCCTACAGTGCATCAAAATGTTTGACTGTAAACGGTACTGTAAACATATACATGCAAATTCTTGCTAAATAAATCTTCAATGTTCATGAAAAAATGACAAAATTCTAGAGTCATGGTAGATGATGTGTGGCAAATTTCAGAATTTTATTTCAAAACTGAATTTTTGACAGCATTTTGAATTTTGCTCAAATTCACAACATTGGAGTCAATGTAAAAATGGCAATTTTAAACATCAATTTTTCACTTATGGAGCAAATCAATCAATGTTACAAACACATTACCAACATCTCCATACTGTCTAGATGCAATATGTGTATTTTCAGATTTGTCTTAATAACTGAATTTTTTACAGTGGTTTCAAGTCTGCCTTTCCATGCACGGATGGCTGCTTTCCTACACAACAGTGAATGGCTTACTTAGTTTGTGAAGCCACTGTTGAGTTGCTACTTGTCAATTAGCTCAGAGCGGTAGATGACCGGCTTAGATTCCAGAGGTTGCGTGTTCGAGCCTCAACTGGTGCAGAATCCACATTGTAATGTAAACATCTTAATCATCTTCCTGTGCTCCAGTTTATTGCTTAGAATTGCCTGAGCCTGACTCATCAATTTTCAGCATTTACAAGTCTATTTTCTGCTAGAAAAAATGCTTGAAAATAAACCAAACTTTGCACAAAGATCCAGTGTCAATACTTCAGTGTGAAACCATCTGAGGCTTCTCACTTTGCACATAGCTCAACTAGTTAAACATCAGTTTTTCACTTATGAAGCAAATCAATCATTGTTAAAATAAATGACCAACATCTCCATGCTGTCTAGATGCAATATGTGTATTTTCAGATTTCTGTTTCGATAACTTAATTTTTTTTTACAGTGGTTTGAAATCTGCTTTTCCATGCATGGACGGCTGCTAAACCTGCAGTTCGTGCATACGATATTTTTGGCCAAATTTGGAATGTGACTTAGAATAGTAGTAATATTAGTATTTTGATGAAATGTCACTATTGTGATGTTAAAGGTTTTTTTGGGGGGAGTTTTTCCTTATCTGCTGTGAGTGACAGAGGGATGTCGTATGCTGTAAAGCCCTCTGAGGCAAACTGTGATTTGTGATATTGGGCTTAATGAATAAAAAAGAATTGAAATTGAATTGAATTAAACTGATTTGGCAATGTTTTTTTTCTGACAGAAGCGTTCATCACACGATGTATCTGAGGACTGTCGGAAATTTGAAAATCCATCAATCTTTGCCGTTCTTGGCCATAACAAATGGTGTAGTTTTGGTGATTTTTAAAGAAAACATGCAAAATATAAGTTCCTCCACAGCATTTTAAAAAAATATTTAAAACACACCTCCCCTTTTTGCACCACCCCTCCCCCCTTAATGTTAACGAACAGTCCCTAAGTGTCACCTTTCCTGGTCTCAAAGGCTGTCACACATGATGTGTTCAAGGACCGTCCAATATTTGAAAATCGAATAATAATTTTTGTTTTTACTAAGGCCAACTGTTTTCATGTTTTCTTTGATTTTTAAAGAAAATATGAAGGCATTTTTTTTTTGATAAATCAGTGGTAGAGTAAATACAAAATACAACCATTTAGGCCAAATTCATATGCCCCTCCTCTAAGCCAAAATAAAAACATAAATCCCTTCTTAGTACCCAATAGTAACTAACAGTCCCTAAGTATTGTCTTTTCCTGGTGTTAAAGGCCATATTACAATAAATTATGTAATTTTCTAAAATTACCAAACTGTTGTAACTGTTCTATTATTTATCTTTACCCACTTACTCATTATATCCAAATTGCTAATGATTACTATTTAAAAATCTCATTGTGTAAATATTTTGTCAAAGCACCAATCATCAACCCTACAAAATCCTCACAATATTATAATTGAGGTATCTGGTCAAAAATATTGTGGTATTTGATTTGTTTCATATCGTCCAGCCCTAGGATTTACATGAACATACAGTTACCCATGTTAGTTTGTGTAGGGTTAGTGTTTGGGAATGGTAGAGCATCTTACATAAAGCCTGTTTAACTGATGTTGTGAATATAACATAGAAAAGTGCCATCATCCTATAAATAATGAAGTTTGCTATAAATATGCATTTGTGCATTTGATACATTTTTTTGTCAGTGTGCATAAATTAACTCAGACAGGAACACTGGGTAAATAGAACTCAGCGCATCCTCTTTGACCCCCACCTCCTATTGCTTTGTTGCTGTACCTCCATTTCTTCACTATGTTGTTTCTAACAACAAATTCATCTATAATCTCAAACATCACTGAAAGAGCAACAGTCTCCTTACCTGCAGTTTTTGAGACCTTAACATTACACACATAGCACTCACCATAGCAAATGACATTGATCACCCCCTCAATCCACAGTTCACATCCATCAGTCAGGTCACAGATACAGAACTTATATATAGGGTAATCAGTTTATATGTTATGGAGGTCCTAAGGGGACATGGGGGAGAACAAAAGTAGATGGGTGAAAAAAAGATGAGAAAGAAAGAAAAAAAAATAGAGTGGAGAAACTTTTGCGTTTCTTGAGTCATGAGTTATTTTGAGCCTCCATGCATATCTTCTGCAGCAGCACAACATGCAAAGGGCTTGATAAAGGTGAATATCACCAGTGCATATGGTGGTGATTATTAAATAATCTCTCAGTCAGTCACATCACTGGCCTTTGCACTGCAGTGTGTTTCATTGATGAAACATTAGACAGTAAGTTTGCTCAAAAGAAAGATGGAAAAGAGGTTGTGATGAGCTCTGGTAACTGGACGTCTTCTCCATTTAAAAAAAAAAGCAGAATATCATGTTATAACTGATGAGTCTGGTGTGTGTAGAGGTCTGTATGGTTATACTTTAGCAGAGTGGTTTAATTTCCAAGTGATTTAATGAAGGTAAACAGTGAATAGACTTGTGTAACGACCTTGCATCAGTCAGAACGGCATCTGTTTTTGTGAGCAACACATAGACTGTTGACAGATTGCTATCAGGTACCTGTGCTTCAAACAAAATATTTGCAGAAGACAACAGATCAGTGCTTGAAATATGAATGATTTCTCCAAAATCAGCACAGAAGATGATGTTTGTGGTTATAGTAGGAAAGTCAGTTAATCAGTCTGCATTGATCTATGAATGAATTTGTGAATTGAATGATTTTTTTAATGTCATTGATTACTTGTTAAGTTTAAAGCCTATCACAAACTCTGAGAGCCAAAGGAGATGACTTTAAAAGTCTTGATTATGCTATCAGTGGTCCACAACCTGGAGACATTTAGAATAATATAAAATTGCGGGAAATCCTCATTTTTGGGAAGTTAGAACTAAGAAATGGTTGCCATTTGTTGCCAGTTTGGAAGTGCTGAAGTTTTGTTCGGTTAAGTTTTGTCAAGTTAAAGTCTGATAGTTTTCTTCCTCCTCTGTTTCCCCCTCAACAGACAATGAGACTGCAGTGTACACACTTATGCCAATGGTCATGGCTGACCAGCACAGGTAAGCATCAAACCACGCTGCACAGCATTAGCAGTGTATTAGAAAGATTAACACACTGTGATCTCAGAGCTTGAGGCAAAATGCATTGTAAGATGTTAATCTACTTTAGCTAACAAGTCATGTCTTTAGTGCCTTCTTCACATCTGTTGTCACTGAGCTGTAGTGAACATATGTATTTGGCCCCAGACGAGATTGTTTACTTGTTCCATCCTGTCTCTTTAAAGGTCAGTGTCAGAGCTGCTGCTTAACTCCAAGTTTGATGTCAACTACGCCTTCGGACGAGTGAAGAGAAGTCTGCTACACATCGCTGCCAAGTAAGATGTTGTTCACTCTGCTCTCATTTAAAGAGTAAGTACGCCCTGGATTTCTGCCAGGAGTCTTCTTCTCATCCAGCATATTTAAAAAACATTACAACAAAGATGGAGGAGTAGGTGGGAGGAAATGTCTGTTTGACATGCAGCCTTGTGCCTAAGTAATTCATGATGACACAGGGGTTTATAGTAGAGCTAGACCAATATATTGTATATTTGCTAGATCATTGATTTTTCCAACGGCAAAATGTCCTGCTAGGTTTTTCTGTACAAACAAAATTTAGATGTAGATATATTTCTATCAGATTTTTTAAATATCAAAATATTATTACAGTATTACTACAAGAGGGATTTGATGTTCTCTCCAATTGGGTGGAAAAATATACAGTGGCATGCAAAAGTTTGGGCACACCTGGTTAAAATTTCAATTACTGTCAACATTTTAAGCAAGATCAGTGTATTGTTTTTGTTTTGTGCAATTTTAGAGTGAAAAAAATGAAAGGAGCACCATGCAAAAGTTGGGCACCCCAAGACATTTGAGCTCTCAGACAACTTTTACAAGGTCTCAGACCATAATTAGCTTGTTAGGACTATGGCTTTTTCACAGTCATCGTTAGGAAAGGCCAGGTGAAGCAAATTTCAAAGCTTTATAAATAGTCTGACTCCTGAAACCCTGTCCCATCAGTCAGAACCCATGGGCTCCTCTAAACAGCTGTCTAGCGCTCTGAAAACTAAACTGATGCCCCCAAAGCAGGAGAAGGCTATAAGAAGATAGCAAAGTGTTTTCAGGTGGCTGTTTCCTCAGTTCCTCTGTTTCCTCAAACATCACACCATCTGTAAAAAAGCTGAAGATGAAGACAGGGTGGCTTCTACAACAGGACAATAATCCTAAGCACACCTCAAAATCTACAATGACTACCTCAAGAGGAGCAAGCTGAAGGGTTTGCCATGGCCCTCACCATCCCCCAACCTAAACATCATTAAACATCTGTGGATAGACCTCAAAAGAGCAGTGCATGCAATACAGCCCAAAAATCTCACAGAGCTAGACGTCTTTAGCAGGAAGAATGGGTGAAAATCCTCCAAACAAGAATCTAAAGAAAAACCGAGTACAGACCATGCAGGGTGCCCAAACTTTTGCTTCAGGCCCTTTTCCTTTTTTGTTATTTTGAACCCGTAAAAGTTTGAAATAAAAAGTAATCTTGATAAAAATAATGAGAAAATGTTTCATCTTTCACTTCATGCCTTTTGGAAATCAGGTCATCTTTTACTTAACTATTCACAACAAACGAAATTTCGACCAGGGGTAACAAAACTTTTGTATGCCACTGTATGTGCATATATTAGCATCAGCAATCGGCCAAAATGAGTTGGAAAATATCAGCATATTGGATATCGGCAAAAATCCAATATCATGTATCCCTACTTTGAGTAATTTTTTAACCAGGTACTTCTTTACTTTTAGTTGAGTAGGTTTTTAAATGGTATTTTTTTTTCACTTTTACTTGAGTCATTTTTATGGGAGGGTAGTTGTACTTTTCAGTACTCTGCCCACCATTGTTCATAGATAAAGTTTTTCATTGAAAACATACACACCTTCACACTTCATTAGTCATATTGCCCAGATGTAAGAGTATATCCCCTGATCCTCAATCAAGCTCATCTCAATAACCAAAGGGTCAGTTCATCCAAAATGTAGAAAACATAGAATTTGTAATTGGGGTCTATTTTTTTAGGTGCTTTCCTCAATAGTTCTAATGATAACTGTCTCCAGTGAGGTGTAGAGATTATCCAGAGTGACGGGGACAGTGTTTCTGGAAAGATATGTCTGCTGAAAATGCTTTTCAGTGTTAGATACCACTAAAATAGAATGAGAAAGTAAATCTGTGGTAACCATGTCTACCTCCTGGTGTTTATAATATGGTTACATGCTTAGTTTGAAAGCCATGCTGAATGGATAGTTTCTTGATGTGTCACATATGGAGCAGATGTGATTGTGAGTGCATGCAGGACAGTTGTGTTGTGTGCTGCTGTGACTGTAAGCTGCGATGTGTTGTCTTCGTACAGCTGTGGCTCAGTGGAGTGTCTGGTTCTGCTGCTGAAGAGAGGAGCCAACCCAAACTATCAGGACATCTCAGGCTGTACCCCTCTGCACCTCGCTGCTAGGAACGGGTAAGGGCTTCATACATCCCTACTGTTTACATGTCTGTGTTGTGTTCAGATTTCGTTCAGGGTCTGTGAGACTTTCAGTGGGCTCACTTTTACAGACATACAGTCCTGGCCTTTTTTTTAGTTATTTGTTGATTCTTGTAAGGTCCAGCAAACACACTGAATGCATTTTCTTCCTCATAAATAATCCAATTTATAATGAAGTGCTGTTTATATCTGTGTTTGCTGTCGTGCAGTCTTCTGCCCTGCCTTTTATTGGCACTTTGCTGCCTGTCTGGGCACATTAAAGCCACCTGTAAAAACCACTGGCAGGAATGTGGATGGCGTCATGCATGTGCATGTGTGCATGAATTTGCATCCTCATGCTTGTGCACGAAACAAACAAAACGAGGGCCCACTCATGAAAACGCAGCTTCTGGTTATTTCAAGGAAACTGTTCACGTTGGAGTTTGGAATTCTAAGATTTTTGATCCAAACCAAATGCAGAATTTTGTATTTGATAGCATAAATAATATGTTCGCCTTACAATAAAGCATATTTTACAAGCACAAGTACAGTTTTATTTTTTATCCATTATATCCAGATATCAGTCTATGACAGGATGTAGTATGGCCAAAATTCTCTCTGTGGTCAAAGCTCACACCTTATTTAGCATGCAGCTAAATGGAACAGTCATGTTTTATACATTTGGAACATTTCTTTAAGAAAAAAATTATCCCATGTTTTTTGCGTGACTGGGTGGATACGTTCTATTAGACAGAGAAGGTTTTAAAAGAAAAAATTACCAACAAATGTTCTAAAAGAAAATCAACACTCAGCAGCATTGATTTTTTTCCCCCTCAGTATTTCTAGAACATGCGCTTCAACTAGTCGCAGCAAAGTCTGGTAGCTCTGCAATTTTACTTAGTTTTACTGAATTTTTATTATATTTTTCTCAACTACTAATGGATACTTCTGTGGAGAGAAGAGTTTATTCAAGAGAGGAGCTTTTTTCGTTGAAACGGAGCAAGTCTGGAGGACACCATCCTATTCCAGCTGAGATGAAGAGGTGTTTTTGTGGTTGCTGTGCTGGTGCAAAGGTGAAGGCTTGGAAATGGAGATATAAGCCCTTTCTGCCATCAGTCATCATGGGAAATGTCAACTCTCTGCCCAACAAGAGTGATGAACTGGAGATATTGGTGAAAACTCAGAAAGTATACAGTGAGTGCAGTCTCATGTGTTTTACGGAAACGTGGTTGAATCAAAACATCTCAGACTCCAACGTGGATCTACCTGGCTTCACTCTCATACGATTGGACAGAGACTCTAAAGCTAGTGGCAAGAAAAAAGGTGGGGGCCTGGCTTTATTTGTGAACCAGAGATGGTGCAGTACTGAACATATTACTGTCAAAGAGAAGATGTGTTATCCAGATATTGAACTTTTGGCAGTTGGTATGAGGCCATATTATGTACCAAGAGAATTCAGTCATATCATGTATAATAATTGTGTACATCCCACCCAAGGCAACTGCTGAAGTTCCATGTGAAGTTCTCCATGAACTTGTTGCTACGATACAGACTAAACATCCTGAGGCACTATTGATAATATCAGGAGACTTCAACCATGTTTCCCTCTCCTCTCACCTGACTGGATTTACACAGTTTGTTAACTGTCCAACCAGAGAAAATAAAACCCTTAATCTGCTGTATGACAATGTCAAAGAAGCTTACAGAGCCACTGCCTTACCACCACTGGGCAGGTCAGATCACAACTTGGATCTTCTGCAGACATGTTACAAACCCCGTGTGTGGAGGCAGACTGCAACTAAACTCACAGTCAGGAAATGGACACCAGAGGCTACTGAGGCTCTAAGTGACTGCCTTGAATGCACAGACTGGGATGTGTTGCTGGAAACAGAGGAGAACATCATGGACATTGATAGACAGGTTGACTGTTTTACTGATTACATCAACTTCTGTAGAGACACAGTCATACCTACAGAGACTGTACACTGTTTCCACAATAACAAACCTTGGATTACCAGTGACATAAAGACAATCCTCAATGAGAAGAAGGCAGCTTTTAGAGATGGTGACAAAGCACGGCTCAAACAAGTGCAACATGAGTTGAAGAAGAGACTTAAGATGGCAAAGGTGGTATACAAAAAGAAACTGGAGAGGAATCTACAACACAGTGACATCCGTGAAATGTGGAGAGGAGTCAACACCATCTCTGGTTTAGGGCTTTGACTCCGAACTTCGTTATTCGAATATAATTTGAATATTTACAAAAATAAAGATATTCGAACGAATATTAGGCAGCCCTTAATATTCGAACCTGATATGGGCATTAACTGAAAGAGATGAAAACAATGATGTCAACTGATCTGAAGGCACGATATGGCCCCGACAAAGATGCATTCTTCCTACTGAACACAGCCAGCTACCTCGACCCGCGTTTTCACCGACTGGTTCATTTGGAACAAGAGTCGCAGCAGGCAGTGCGAGATAAGGTTCAGAGGGAGCTTGCCGAGCTCAGCGAGCAGACAGGCGGAGAGGAAGGCCAAGAGGAGAACGCCACAGCTACGGAGCCACAGCAGCGCAAGGAAAAGAATGCTCTTAGCGCAGTGGGGGACCTCTTTGGCGATGTGTACTGCCAAAACTCGGCAGGAGGTAATAATGATGATATTATTATCAATAATAAATAATACAGAAACTTTTAAATTATCGAGTGCCTTTCATAACAACTCAAACTCACTATATAGCCCTACATTGGAAATATAAAAAAGTGCATTATAAAACGTAGCCTAAACAACACATTAACAAAAACTAATTTATTTTTTAAGTCAGACCGAATGAAGATGTGCTCCAAAGAGAAATGATGGCCTACGACAGTGAGCCCCCACCCCCGTCTGACAGCAACCCGCTGTCCTGGTGGAAGGAGAGAAGCCTCAAGTACCCCCATCTCGCCCAGCTGGCACGCGGCTACCTGGCAATATGCGGGACATCTGTGAGGGCGGAACGAGTGTTTTCCACAG